TCAAAGAGCACCAAAGATTCCAATGGCACAATAGATGAAAGGGATAAAAAAAACCCCAAACAACTTTAAGCATCATTTCAGACTGCATTCTCTTCAAGAGTTGTAGAAACTTAAGAATTCAAGTATTTATTTATTACATGCATTATCTGGCCTTTCCTAAAAAAGCTCAAGATCATTTATGTGGAAACCTCCCTTTATTTTATCCCCATTAAAAAAAATAGTGAGGTATGCTGGGCTGAGAGGGATGATTTGCCCCAAAGTACCCTGTGCTTCCATGCTAAGAGTGGCCTTCAACTTACATATTCCCAGTTTTACTCATCTACTTAACCACACCACTGCATATTACTAACATTCCTTACCCAGAAATTGTTGCTAGTCCTATCACCATCATTGCTTTGGGGAGTGGGTACATAAGGAACTCAAACACCACAAGGTTCATTTAAGTGAGTGCAATTTACATTCCACTTACTATGCATCATCCACAGATGGTGCAAAGCACACACATACTACATGTGGATTGCATACATTGGGTTTTTTTAAAACACAAGAGCTTTATTCAGATGCCGCTAAAGCACAAATTTGCAAACTCCCATTCCCCCAGAGTTCACTTCCTTCCACCATTTCCTGTGCCAGGTTTAGAATGACTGGGTCTTTTTATAAACTGCGTGCTGATCTCATTAATATGTAGTGTAGTCAAGCCAACATAGCGAAGGTCAGTTATTTTCATGGCCCAGGCTCAATGTATTGCAATTTAACACCTACACGACTTTCAGGTTGAGATCCAGATGATGCAGACAAGTGGCTTGACTTTCTCTCTAATTAGACAGGAAGGTTGGAAGTGATAGCCTAAACTGCTGATCTAAATTGTGAGAGTATTTTTGAATTGGAAGGCATGGGTACAAAATGAGAGTGGGGTATCTGTCATACCTTTCTGTCCAAAGCTGTGGAAGCTGTGTTTGATTGGGGAAGAAGAATAGTCTTGTGCTAGCTATGGAAATTAAAAACTTGGCTGGTTCCCTTAGCTCTGTCTCAAAATAACAATCTCAGGGAGCCTAAGATGTTGAGTAGATTAATTGCGTGAAGTTGAGAAGAAGCTTAACTCTCCTATTTCCAACATACTAATGAGTACCTCTCCCCCCTCCTCAGCTGCACACACTTAACAGTGCTGTGGCTTATGGTTACAGTTAGAACTTTGGAAAATATCTGAAAATAGGAGCCTTGTCACGCGCTACAACTTATACAAAGCACTTTTTCCCCCCCAAACCATTAAAGCAGTCACATCATATGCAGGGCTCATGCTGCTGCTTTGAAAGCTGCTTCTGGCTGTCTCCATTCCCCATGAGTCATCCAAGTGAAATGGAGAGATAAGGGAGCACACTTTCCTTTCCAACTGCTGGTGTGCTTTTCTTCTCTTTTTGCTATTTCCTTTTTATAAAAATGCAAGTCTTTTCCTAGAATCAACAATCAGGAAAATAACTGACAGCCTCACCAAGGAAGCTATGTAGCCCTCGCTCCAAGATCTTATGGCAGTGTTGTTATCCTTTGAGCTATTCATTAACATTATGTACAAAATATACAAGTTGAAGCCTGATTACAAACTTATGCATAAGTTCCCATAGATAAATCTACAATTTTTCTGTATATTTTTCTGTACATTTTTCTGTACATTTTTCTGTATTTGAATGCAGACCCAGTCTTCAGCTGCTGCATATGGGTTTCAAAGCCTTAACTCCAAAGTAAAGTGGACATTTGGAATTCCAAAATTCAAAGCCTTAACTCCAAAGTAAAGTGGACATTTGGAATTCCAAAATTAATCTGCAATCGTCGTAACCTACAATAAGATGTGAGCCTAGTAAAATAGTAATGAACAGAAAAAATAATATTGCATAAATGAAAGGGAACAACGTTCAGAAGAGCTGCTCTTTAGATCTGAATAGTTCCATTTGAAAGAGCAGTCTTCAAAACAAAGGAAATTGTGTATTTATTTGTCGGCCTGATATGCTATTCCAACCAAATACAACTCTGAGTGGTATTCACTTCATGATACTGTAATTAGATTACAGAATTAAGCCGAGCAAAGGAAAAACAACTACAACAAAAAGAAAATCATCTGACATACCAATCATGAATAAACTATTCAGCAAGCCAGTTTGGTGTAGTGGTTAAGGCACTAGACCAGAAACTAGGAGACTGGGAGTTTCAGCTTTTTAAAGCACAAAACCAGCTGGATGACTTTGGGCCAATCATTCTCTCTCAGCTCTAGGAAGAAGACAATGGAAAAATACTTCTGAAAATGTTGCCAAGAAAAATGCATGGACTTGTCCAAGCAGTTGCAAGAAATCAAAATTGATTGGAAAATACACAACACATATAAATTGCAGTGGCTGGGCCCTAGTCTTGACTTCCATTCTGCACTTCCTCCCTCTTTCCTCTCTTTAACAAATGTAGTCTTCACAATCTTAGTTTGTGCCGTGCCTTACTGTGAAAAAATATGACACGGTGTCAGAGTTGGAGCTTCTATTTATCTACTGCAGGGGTAGTCAACCTTGGCTCTTTTATGACTCGTGGACTTCAACTCCCAGAATTCCTGAGCTAGCAAAGCTGGCTCAGGAATTCTGGGAGTTGAAGTCCACGAGTCATAAAAGAGCCAAGGTTGACTACCCCTGATCTACTGGAAATGTAATATTGTCCTTCTAAGTATCAGTGTCCTTATTCCCGACTTATCCCCCTCTCCATTAATGATACAGGGGAATTTGTTCAAATTGGGAGCAGTGTTTTCACTTATACTTGGCTGCAATTGGGGCAGAAGACACTTCCAAGAAATGATAAGCTGCTCTCCTGTTACATTGTAACAGCTTTGAATACTCCAAAAGCATCAGTGGTCACTGTGAGAAATTAAGTACCAGACTAATGGATCTTGGCCTGATCCAACAGGACCAAAGATTTATATCATTTCCAAAACAGAAATGTACATAAAATAAAGGTCTATTTTATTACTTAAGGGTAGTAATATCACTGATTAACTCTTCTTAAATGCCCATAGTTTTTGTCATTCGATGGCTGATCATATGCATGTCTAACTAAATATTTAGTACATTTAATTATGAATACAGCATTTGCACTATACTTCTGATTTTGTTTTTTTCCAATGCAAAGCCATAGGTTCAACAAGAAGATTTTTTTTCCTCTTTGTACTGCAGTACTGGTAAAAGTGGAACGTTCTGAATATTGTTGAGCTCTGATTATCATCCTGCAGGAAATCTAGCTATGTGGTCAGTTAGAGTCAGCATCGACTTGATGACACATAATCAGTCAATCCATGATCATGGTGTTGACAACAATGGGTTGTCTGGATCTGCAAGATGGCAGACTTGTCATTCAGTTGAAGTGCTGCCTCAGGTTTTATACATGCATACAAAAGAGGAAGGCCTTCAACCCCTTAATGCAGCCCCAGTCATCTTGCAGATTTTGACCTCCTTGGAGAGGCTGCTGTTGGTAGGAACAAGAACACATGACCCATTTGCACATATATCTCAGTGAAAATTCATTTAAACTGATCTATCATCAAAGCAAATCAGCTATTGTTCTTAGTCACAATTCCATTTCTTTGTTCTAGTTTCCCAGTTTCTGATTAACAATCCCTTCTTCTGACTCATGCATAGCACATTAAAATTCTTGAAATAGTTCTACCTCAAAAGTCTCATTTGGGAGTAAAAGGTTCATTTGGGAGGAAATTCTTGCAAAGAGTTCCGTGAGGGATTACCATGTAAGTATACTACTGAATGTACAGTTTTAACATCCACCTCAGACTGCCATCTTCTATATGTGTTCTTACTACAATAACCCATTTTCTTTGGTAAGTGATGACAAATTGATGCATTCAGCCTTTGGAAAGACTGCCGTATATCATATGCTGTAAAATGAGATTACTAGTAACCCAATGTTTTCTTTCAGAATTACTTATCTGAGCTGGACAACCTGAAGAAGAATGGGGAAGTGATTCCAATATCCTCACAAACTGCATACAATGAACTTCCCTCAATAGACATTCCCTGCCACAGATTAGCACCCTTTGTGCACAACAACCGAAATCTGCCAAACTAAACATATGCCAATGTAATGCACCCCAGAGGTGCTGGAATTACTGTTTCCAAAATAACTGGCCAACATGGCTGACAGTGTTAGTTGGACTGTAGTATTTCCAAAACTGGTGGACACCAGATTGAGAAACAATAGCCTAACCTACCTCCCAGGGAGGACTCCAGGTTGTGGGTAGAATGTTTGTATTTGGGAGAAAGGAAGAAACAAACCTGAAAGGTATTGAGTCAGCTTTTGGTAGAATTTATTTCTGACTTTGACATGGAGCTAGAGTTTGCCAGGATGAGAAGGCTAGCAAGTGGTAGCATTCTAGCATATCTTGAAGAACCTCAAAACACAGTGGGCAGAATTAGTAATTGAGGCAGGAGTCACTATGAAAATCTCAAGACTCTAGGCTACACTAGAAAGTAAAAACTGAATGCAATAGCAAACTGTATACTTCCATTTGGTTATGGAAGTTGTGGATATGCTCATATACTGTAGTCATCAGTAACTGAACTCAACCTGAGGGAGTCTTTACCTTTATTTAGCTAACAAGTTGTGGGAGGCTGAGAGGACACCAAGGACAATTTCCACCTCTTAGAATTATAGAGCTGGAAGTGATCTATAAGGTCATCAAATCAGCAGGATTCCCTATACTAACTCCGATAGATGATCATTCAGATTCCAGTTGAAAATCACCAACCTCTTTGTTCAGGTTTAGTTGCTTGATACTAAAAATGGGGTACTAAGCTATCGTACTGCCTCACTATTTCTTCCTGACTGCCTTTGTGAAAAGAATTATAATAAAAGAGCTTCCTTATTGCTGGCCCTATTTTAATATTATTTTTAAGATTGGGTCCTTCAAGGCATGGTTTTCCTTAATCAGCCACATGAGAGAAAGAATGAAAAAAATGCCATACCTGGTGTCTTCTCTGTGAAGATGACTTTGGATTCTGCTGTAAAATTCTGGCCAGTTAAAATCATTTGCTGTCCACCATATACAAGGCAGGTGTCCATATCTTGTCTTTCAACCATTGGAAGTTCATGAGCAGAGCGTTGGGCTGTGGACAAAATGCAGACTGGAATTAAATTAAATCTTTTTTTAAAAATTGGGAAAATTCAGAAGTACCCACACGTTCTATTTTGTCAATATTGCCATTTCCTCACTACCAAAGAGCTTATTTGGAAGACTCTTTTTTTCTTTTTACGACCCTGTAATCCCTTTTATTGGGGTGGAGTTGGGGCAATTGAATGGATGCCCTTCCCGACACGACACCTACGTGGAGTTTGTAGCAGATATTTTTCTCTTTGCGCCCCGATAGAGAAACATCTGTTGCTGCCTAGGGTTGAACTCTCAACCTTCCAAGTGGGAGGCAAGCACCTTCACCTCTAAGCCATCATGCCATTCATCTGGGAGACTCAATTAAGGGCTTAAAAATAAAAGAGGAAATATATACTGGAATAATAATTAGGAACGGATTCCAGAACTATAGCTCTATTAGCCTTACTCCTTGTCTCTGACAAATAAGAACTCAGAACTGGAATCAACCCATGTTTCATTCCAAGCCAGTGACCGAAGATTCAATTGTACATATGTTACAATCATGAAATCTAAAATATGCCACCTGCAGAGTCAACTCCAATCAATAGACCTGAATTCTTTACAGTGAGCTAAAACATAACTTATTCCGAGATGGAACAGGACAACTTTTCAATCAGCTAAGTAGCTAGAACATACTGTATTTCATTGTGATAAGTGAAAGCAGAGGCATCTGAGACAGGGAGCTAAGTTGCAGAAAAAGGTATTGCAGGAAGTCCAATGGCTTATCTTTGTAAGGCACCTTTGATGTGTATTTAAAAGGTGTGAAGCATTCTATATAGCACTTTTGCATTTAATCCCTTTTGCCTTTGCAATAAAATCTTTCAAAAAGAACGAAATAATTGGAAAGAGGTAGAAAGAGACTGGATTCACAGATTCAAAGCAGCCAGGCAAATTTTGAATTTCAAATCCCTTATTACTTAAATTCACAGAACAACCAACAAAGACCCCTCTGTCACAACTTATTTAGACCAATCATTTGCCATAAGATAAGACACTCTGCTCACGAACGTTCCATCCATACCATAATAAAGATCCTAGCCGGACTGTTCTTTGCAGTAATGAAATTTTCTGAATTTTACCTATCATCAGATTAATATTTTTTCTTTCACCATTGAAACAGCTGGAAAAGATCAAATATTTTCTTTGGGCTGTTCCTAATTTCTCTCAAGCAGTTGTTTAGATTAAGTGACCTAGAAGTTCAAAATCTGAATTCAAACTTCTCCATTTTAATCTCATCCCTTCAATGACGGTCTCTTGAGAATTTTGCTAAACATCTTAATCTCCTTAACTTGTGCTTTATTTTGAATCATGGTTTGCTAACTAATTCATGCAGCCCTTCTGCTTAAAGATCAGCATTTTCTATCACTTCTACTTGAAATGAACAATAGCCATGGTTGCAAAGAATGTCTCCAAAATATGCCACAAGCAAAAATCCTTTTTAGAGATACCACCACTCGGCCTACAGTTTGTACACTGGTGCATAAAACCCTATGACAAAGTCTTCACAATTTCTTCATGTGAAAGTTTAATCATGCCAGGTTTTTAGAGGAAGTGACAGCAGTAGCNTTCTACTTGAAATGAACAATAGCCATGGTTGCAAAGAATGTCTCCAAAATATGCCACAAGCAAAAATCCTTTTTAGAGATACCACCACTCGGCCTACAGTTTGTACACTGGTGCATAAAACCCTATGACAAAGTCTTCACAATTTCTTCATGTGAAAGTTTAATCATGCCAGGTTTTTAGAGGAAGTGACAGCAGTAGCTTTCTAAATGATGAGCAGGAAATAAGAACTACATTATAAGAGGAGTAGATGTGCTAATCAATCAGCTTTCTGTGGCTACTAGAGAGTAGAGATGATGGAGAATATTGTTTAGGTATTTTTAATCAACGAAATGTATAAATTCTGGATAAAACTATGGATTGGAATATAACTAACTGTTTTAAAACATTTATTTAGATATAGTACCAGTAAAGGAGAATATTTGTAGCTCAGGGTTGAAATGAGGGGCCCTTGGTGCTCTCTCAGTTTAGTAAGTTTGCCCACTAGACTATAAACTGAGAGCAAACCCTACTCCTTACAAGCACTGATGATGATACCTAGTTTAGGTAATGAAATGTCTGCAAGTAAACAACCAAGCTCAGAGAGCACCAAGGACCCCCACATTTAGATAGTGTCTATGGAGATTCTCAATCATTCAGGTCATAGTTGTCCCAAAGGTGCTTTTTTTTCTCAAAAGGCAACTGTATTTTACCTTTTGAAAGAGCCACAGTGGTTAGAATGCAGTATTGCAGGCTAATTCTGCCGACTGCCAGCAGTTCGTTTCTCACCGGCTAAATGTTGACTCATCCTTCCATCCTTCCGAGGTCAGTAAAATGAGGACCCAGATTGTCGGGGACAATATGCTGTCTCTGTAAACCGCTTAGAGAGGGCTATAAAGCATTGTGAAGCGGTATATAAGTCCACGTGCTATTGCTATAGCTAGTTTCTTGTTTTTTTTCCTTTGAAAACGTTTTGCTTCTCATCCAAGAAGCTTCTTCAGTTCTAATTAACTGGTAGGGAATTCTTTAAATATTCATAGCTGAAAAAAGCATGCTAAAATGGTCTTTGGAGTTAAAATGCATAAAAAACACTTATTTCAAGAAGACACTATCAAGGGCATATCACAGAAGAAAATCTGTATACTGTAAATATGAATTTCCATATATTTGAAAAACAAGTGGGAATTGTCTTTAAAGTGAACCTTAAAAAACTGACACAGAAAGAAACTGGTTTTATGTTTTGAATGACTTCCATATCTAACCTAAAAGCTGATATTAAAGCTTGAATATATAAAACATAAAATAACAGCAGAATTCAGTTAGATCAGAACTATCTTTTGACAACAGGGCCATCTTTCTTAATATCTCAGACTGGGGTTTTTTGCCCAGTGCTGCTACCCCTTTAGGTACAGCCAGCAAGTTTACACTGGGAGAAGAGGTCTTTTGTTGGTTGTGTGTACTGTGATGCAGTCTGATGATCTCCAGTTATATTGGACAACCATCATATATAGTGTAAGTATTTTGACTCTGTTAACATAAGTTGGTCAACAGATCGGGATGACATCAGGTCTTTCGATTTCTTCCTGAATTTTTTTTTGCTGTGAGTCTATCAAACTTAACTTGTACAATCACAAAAAGATTCCCAAACTTAAATTTGGAACAAAGGTTTATTGCATAATGAAACTCAGTACACTTCTATTACCAAATGCATATATATTACATTTCAGAGAACTAGCAGAACATCTATTAATATTCAGTGGACTGCACCCATTCCCTGGATGATTAAAAATTAACCTCAAATTATAGTTCAGAAGTGATCACAGTAAATTTGTCAATGTGGGGCATGTTTCTTCTTCTCTCTTTAACCCAGGGTGCTTCATTCTTTATTATCCACACAGCTGGCCCACAAAGCTGCCAGTAGTTTATGCTGAGATTACTTTCACAGAAGTTGCTTATTTCTTCCACATGGTATGTATGATTAATCACTCTTTGTAAACAGTCACAGTCCTGATGAGTTCATAATTGGATTTACCACTAAACAGAAGATTTATGGTTCTGAAAATGTAAGGTTAAATGATATCTAAAACAAATTAAATAAATCCAGCCTCAATATTCAGAAGTTTAAATGCCATCTTGAGAATATTTTTATAGAGCTAATTCTGAGTTTAGAAAGTTCTGGAGAAAAGTTCAGTCTAGTTCCACTAATAGAGCTACCCCATGATCAAGGTTTCAAGTAAAGAAACAGATATTGTAATCACAGTAATGCACGTATTCTTTCATTCTACTAAGGCAGAGGTCCCCAAGCTTTTGGGCAGCAGGGTCTGGTTACGTGGAGAGAGGTTTTTCCGTGGATCGGAGGGGGCATGGTTTTGTGTGCTGCCTGCATGTTTGTTGCTTGTTTGTGTGGACCGCTTGCTGGCATGTCGTGGACTGGTACCGGTCTACGGACCAGGGGTTGAGGATGCCTGTACTAAGGTATTAATAAAGTTTTATTTAGCTTACTAATAAAAAAAAGATACCTAAAAGAAGTGTAAATGGCAAAGCAGGGACTTATGGTCAGCAGAAATCAAGTGTCTTCAAAGACCATTAAGAGACTGGACAACCATTTGTCCGATATGGTATAGGGTCTCGTGCTTAAGCAGGAAGTTGGACTAGAAGACCTCCAAGGTCCCTTCCAAATCTATTATTCTATATTCTATCTTTTACAAGTCTTTCTGTATTCAGTTTAACTACCTCTGGTTTTCAGAAAATGTATTCACTTTGTTTAGGGTCCAAAATAAGATTCTCAACTTGCAAATATTCTTATTCTTAGATTCAGGTTTGCTACAGAGATACAACTATCTTGTTGTGGGAAATATTTCAGTGAGGTATCTTTTACTTGCTCAGGCTAGACAGGGATGGTGTAGTCATAGTTTCCCTTGAAGGGGGAAATCCTTTCCTCAAAGCACATTAGAAAAATGTAGAATTACAAGAGTAAGCTGCAATAATTAATTGATAATAAATCTCACTCTTGTTGAAAGAAGCCAACCTGCCAATCAACCTACAAGTGCTTTTCTTTGTGTGCCTTCTGACAGATATTGGGTGGGTGATGACTGGAGAAAGAACATTTGTTACTGTGGAATTCCTTCTACAAGACTTGCTAGATGACTTTATTGTTATCTTTTCAGAATTAGGCAAATGACTTTCCCCCTAGGCTTTTAAAACTATTTTAAATTAATTTCCAACTTTAAAAACTGGTTGATCCAATGTCTATGTGTATTCAAATGCATGTTGTTTGATTAAAATGATCCTATACTCTTATAATGAACAAAAGTCTACAAATAAATGCATACCTTGTGTGTGTATGTGTGTGTACGTATGGCATACCAAGAAAATTATTAAAATATATTAAGTTTAATAAACTAAATCAGAATATTC